CTTATTGTAATGTTAAAACTATGATGTTTTATTGGCAGCTTTGTGACCGTTCATTCATTCTGTTCGTACTATGACGTGACTTTAACATTAAAGTAATATTGCTCATATGTCAAATTTAGGAATCTTAAAATAGTTACACAGATGCAATGGAAACAATATTAAATAAAAATACGCTGATAAGACTCAGCTTGTTTTATTTATTTTTCTTCATGAAAATGCGGAATAATTATTGAAAACAACGTAATTTTAATAGATTTTATTATTACATACTTTTCTTTTCTTAACAGTCAAAATTCTCTGAATGTAAATAACATTAAGTACTTAAACATTATACTACGATAAGGCGATTCGGAATATCAAAAAAGAAAGAAATGGCATTATATAGTTCACATAGCGTTATCTCTTTCCTATTTTTAGTAAGGAATAGACAATATTGGGAAAACATTCGTTCTTTCAATCACTTTTGCAATAATACATTACTTGGTTGACAGGTTCGTCATGGTACGAATATTAGTAATATTATAATAAGCTTACATTGAAATAGGATTGTTTTTGAAAAGGTTATGGTAGGCTCCCGGAAATAAAGACGAAATGTCATTTAATCTGTTTGAAAACTATTCTGCCATATCATTACTGTGATAACTGTGCTCCGAATTCGAAATAATTGACGGGTGTCATCAATAAGTGCCGTCAATTGTTTCACTTCAAATCGACAAGTTAACTTGAGCTTTGCCATAATGGACGAAAATTGCAAAATTACAAATTTAATATTTAATATCCGATGAAATTTGATTTCGTTTGTTTTGTAATTAGATGTTTTGCTGTCCCCACACCACCGAATGGAACTGAACGGCATTGTTAAAGACATTATCTTTATTACAATAAATACAAATTTTTAAAGACACAGGTCAGTTGTTGGCGCTGTCTATATTTCAGTGCAAACCAGAGTTGATATTTATAAGCAATGTATCACTGATGAATAACCAGGAATGTATGGCCCTTGTTTCGTCTCTATTTCTGGTTATATACTCGATGACATCCACCTAATTCTGGATTTCGTTATCGACACACAGACAACAATTTATAAAATGCATACATAACAAATGGGGTAAATTGAAAAATTGACATTAGAAACACAGGTAGGTATTACTGGAATAAAAACTCCATGATCGTTGTGACATTTTAACATAAGATAGACATTTGATAGTTCTGATGTGAAAAGTCGGTATTATCGACTACAGTGTCATTCAGGAGACTATATATATGACATATTAGCTGATACATCGTCCATCATTTTTGACGTGAAATTACATAAAATCGTCTATTGGATCCATGGATCCCATTAATAGTTGAACATGTTAACCGACATGTCGTCAAATATTTTTAGTAAAATGACGGTATATTGATTAACGGGGCAACTTTAAGTTTAATTTTCTCTACCTAATATTGATAGTAATTTAATATATTTGACGAGTGAAACCGTACATTTTTTATGATTTACATTTGTTATTTTAATATTACGAGTAAACCCGCACGATATCATAAGTATTCGATTTATGCTTACTACAACACCACGGTGATCGATGTATATTTTGCAATAAATGAGTGTTATTATTGTCTCGTTCGGACACGGTCGTTTTATTTACATTAGTTAATAATACTCCAATCATTTGCATTGCAATTTGCATCTCTCTATCTCCTTGCATCGTCCTACTTGCATTTACATACATCCTGCAGTGCAACGTGTGTTAACGGCACAATATTTAAGATTAGAGTACCTATATTATCTTGAAATATTAAATAATATTTCAAGATACTATTCTCGAATACTAAAGAATACTTCATGATATATTCAAGAATAATCAACTACTTAATAAGAATTGTCACCAAAATTAGGTAGAGAAAAATAACCTGAAAAAAAATCTTCTAAAAAACCTAATACAAAGATACAACGCAAGCACGTAGAAAAATTCGTGAGGTCCGCTGGTTCGTTCCGTGGCTTAGTTGGTATAGTGTCTGGCACGGTATGCTAGAAGACGTCGGTTCGAATCCGGCCGGATCGAATGAATTTTTTTCAGTGTTCGATCTTTGTATTAATAATTATAACAAACTAGTGGAGTAATAATTCTTATTGTTAGTAATTTACCTCCTTATATTTAGTTCAATTTCACCTTACCTATTTTTGCCGCCAAGCAGTAATGCGAGCATTACTGTGTTCCGGTTTTGAAGGGCGCTGGTGACATTACAGGCACATGGGACTTGTCAACTTATGTCTCAGGGTGTCAGGCGCGATGGAATTTCCCTCATATATTTTCGATTTAAAGCTCTGATTGGCACTGCAAACTATTATGGACAGGCGTGTAGTTTACCACCAAGCACACTACTTGTTCGTCCCGTCACTTGATGTTATAAAAAATCTTCTTATAATATCGTCAATTGCATGCAGTATTTCACACATTTAAATAAAATTAGAGGAGATAAATTACCCAACGCAGCTAATATGATTGCCAACGGGTGTCGCAGGCTACTACTCTATCGTATCAAACCAAAACACTGCAAGTCTCAGTATAGTGTTTTGTAATTTAATAACAAGAATCTTTCGACTGTTTTATCAAGTCAAAACAAAAATCGTTTTTCAATAGACATAGCTTATTAAGTTTAAATTTAAACGGCTAAATGGAATTCTTTAATATCTAATTATGAAAGTAAGTTAAATGTATCTTTTAAGTTGATAAATTAGAAAAATCCTTTTTGCAGCATTTTTCAAAATGCTTTTTTGATATTACAGTGCACAGGTTTGACACGGTACTCAATCGCAGCATATAAACCAGCGATACCACTAATTTTACAGACGGCACTGTGGTAATCACCTGCATGCCATGGAACTCCCGTCTCCTTCAATGCTGTAAGATTTAAACTTGTCGAAGACGACTTGCCTTTTATGGGGTATATAATGTACACCAGGTCTCGACAAAATAAGTATTGATTTGCTTCTGAAATAATTAATAAGGCTTTATTTCGTGTAATACTGAATGGAGCAACAAGATGGTCGACAACGTTCCAACTCGCACTCATGATAATAATAATAATAACACTCATAGCCCCGCAGTTGAGAAACCCTGTATAGCGGGTGCTATGAACACACATATAGACAACCACAAATTACACCCAAACTCACAAGAGAAATAAATGTAGGGCATACAAATATTTCTCTCTCACCGGGGGCCTCTGCGTGGCAGTCTAGCATGGTAACCGTTCGGTCACGGAGGCGGTTAAATAAAAAAAAAATACACTGAGTGTAAAAAAAATCGCGTATTTAATTTGTTCTTGCTATACGGTGTAGAGGTAAAAGGCCGCATTGACAAAATCATAATATGATTAAGTGTGCTAATACTACCGTAGATATAAGTAATATAGAAATAACAATATCCATTGTTGCTAAATGTCCTAAAGGGTTGGATGTGACGAAGGGATGTGGTCCTGACGGTCTGCCCTCCATTTTCTTAAAAACAATAACCTTTTGCCAATAACTATCTTGTTCAGCATCTCATTGCGTCTGAGTCAGATTCCTATAATTTGGAAAAAGTCATAAGTTGTTCCTATTCACAAGAGTGGCGATAGACATGATATAAGGAATTATAGGCCTATATCTAAATTATCCACTTTAGCTGAGTTATTAGATAAAATAGTCTACGACAGCGTTTTTCCTCTGTCGCGACCACTAATTATTTCTCAGCAGCATGGTTTCAATATCAAAAGATCAACGGAAACAAACCTTTATGAATTTACCCAGATGATGTGTGAAGCCATGGAAAAGGGTTATCAAGTTGACGTCATTTACACCGACTACTTCAAGGCTATTGATAAAGTATCACACTCAACTCTCATTCGCAAGCTTGGAGAGATCGGCATACATGGCGAACTTTTAAGATGGTTGTAGTCATATTTAAGAAACCAATGTCAGGCAGTGACTGTAAAGGGATATTGCTCTTCTGTCATTCCTATTAGTTCTGGAGTTCCACGGGGCTCGCATCTCGGACTTCGTTTGTTCAACATTTTCAAAAACGACATTACTAAAATTATTACAAATTCTAATATTCTTTCATATGCGGATGACAAAAATCTTCAAATTTAATAAAACTATATCCGATTGTGAAAAATTACAACTTGATTTAATTGGCCTGAATAATTATTGCATATTTAATTCTTTAATATCAACAAATGTCACGTAATTACGAAAGTAAATTATAAGTTTTGATATAAATTTTTTATTAGTTAGTTTAAGTGAATTATTACTTTTACGTGACAAATCACGTAAAAGAAATAATTCAAATTACCTATATACTTAATTACCTTTAATAATACTATAATTAATATAGCGACTGAGGTGAGTGACCTGGATGTGCTTCTGGATGATAGGTTGATTTTTGATGGCCATATTAATAAAGTTATTATTATCATAGGAAATGAAACTATTTTTTCGGATTTAAATCGCGTATATTTGTTTTTTCAAACAAACCGACGTTTCGAGCCCTTGATAGGTCCCATGGTCACGGTTGACTGTGACCTATGTGTAACAATCACGAAAACCTAAGAACTCGTTATTATTATCATATCGAATGCTTGGCTTTATCTCCAGGACAGGCAGAGATTTTCGTAATCCTGAAACTTTAATTCTATTGTATAATTGTTGCATTCGGTCTATTCTAAAATATGCATCTACTGTTTGGAACTCTCAGTACAAGATTTATATTTCTGGCATTAAGCGCATTCAGAATAAATTTAAGAAGTTATTAAGTTATAGGCGTCCGTCGTTTCCTAATCATGACATAGTGGAAAAACGACGCGCTGCGAAGGACCAAATCTTTTTAAGTAATATTTTCAGAAATAAGATTGACTCTAGCTTTTTGTTACATAATATGAATTTGAGATATCCTAGATCTAATTCTCGTTAGAAAAGTGTCATTTGTGTGCCTGGTTGTAAAACTAAATATTTAAGTAAAGCTTTCTTGTTTGGAGCTTGTAATGCATACAATAAGAATCATTTAGATGTAGATATATTTTATTTGTCCTTTTCACAATTAGTAAAGTCCACTTATGCACAATAATTTATGTTATTTGTTTTTTAGTTTATTTCTTTTTATGTTTCTTTTTCTTATTTTCTTTAAATAATTAATTTTTAAATTAATTAATTAAAAAAAAATAACAAGTTGATTTTCTTTCTTTTCTAAGTTATGTTTATTAGTGGAAACTTTGCTGCTTTAATTGATACCTTTTTTGTACTATAATCTTGTAAATAAAGCAAAAAGTGATTGTTTTGCAAATAATAAAATAAATAAATTAATTTGTTAATTGACAATTAGAAATAGTATAATTGGTTCACTGATGGATTGCAAAAACGTTACTTCTTTTTATTTACCTTTTTTTTCTCTCTCTCAATGGATAGTCAATAATTTAATGATGATTTTTTAATTATGAGTTGTATTTCGTTACGTAATGACACGACCAGTCCCGAGAGCTGCGAGTTGCCTCTGTGTGCACTGTTACAGTGTTCGGAAAGCGAAATAAGCATGTTGCTGAATATGTTTGTTTTGTTTCGTTGTTCCTGGGCACGAGTTTTTTTGTGTTGTATGTGTTATATCTATATATCTATGACAATATATAACTTGTAGTTGTGTATTGTCCATCAGATTGTATGTTTACCTACTTTTTGTTTTTATATTATGAATTTTCAAAGAACATATAAAACGCAATTCATATATATTCAGTGTCCTATGGATAAATAGATGATTTACGTTACCTATATGAATTGCAAGTAATTTATAATATGAATTGCAAATAATCATATTATGATTCTGTCAATACGGCCTTTTTAGCCTTGGCAGATGTTTATTGTCAATAGCAAAAAGAAATATGACGCCAGAGTTTGTTACTACAGACAATAGGTATATAACATACACCACCATTACCACAACATGGTGAATAAAGAATATTATGGCACTATTTAGTTTACAAGATCACACCCACCCTATCTACGTACGTTTGTATTCTCGCATTTCTGATGTAAAGTATTATTTTTGAACAAAAGGTAAGTAAAGCTTTTTGTGTGTGAAACCGAAAAAAAATCAAGTCATATTTGCTATAGTTACTAGTACGTACATTTGCGTAACCTGCCCGTAAATACAAGATCTGCCCATTAATCAAGTGCCTAATATCACCAATAGGTAGGACGACGGCGGTCTGCCCAAATTCGATCACGTGAAAAATAAATTTCTAATTTTGAATATTTATAATATCCATCCCTTAGGTGCTTCACAACACAGTGTTGTAGTTTTAGGCAAGGTTAGGCGTTCGCCGTCCAACATTCGTCTAAAACAATGACTGTCAAATAAATAATACTAGACCAAAATCAAACGACAATGTGAAGTATGAAGCTTCGTTCGCATAATGCATCTTTTAGTTTGGCTGAGTGCACGGATTTATATATTTCATAAACTGGATCGCGCACTTCGATATACCAATATTACAAATTTACACCTTATTGGGTTATGTTAAGGTTTATTTTAAGTTAAAGTAATAAACCGAGTCACGTGAGATAGCTCGAAGTAGTGGTCTGTCGTTGTCTAACAAGTTGCCAATGCTAAATAAAATCATCTTAGGTAGTGTCTAGTCTATTAACTTTTTTAAATTTTGCTTAAATAAAATTAGCTTAAAAGTAATATGCTTTTACTGTAATAATACAAAAAAATATATCAACAATAAAACCTTCTATTATGAAGTAGCATATCAAATAAGTATACTAATTTGTATTATGAAATAATATTAGCAGTTTAGGTCATCCATAAGCGGCCACATTTTTGTAAAAATTAAAAAGTTACAAAGAATATGGCTGGCTGACGCATTACTACTTCGAAGCCTCTCACTCGGCTCGTTTTATTAACTTAGTGCGCGGTCCAGTTTGAGTGTTACTTATTTGACTGATTCGGACGGATGTCACTACACTTTGATCTTAGCCAAAAGGCCGAGAGACGGAGAAATCAACGCTATTGTACTAACCTCAGTCGAAGCCGTGAAACATCATATTTTTGTTTGCATTTACATCTGTGAACAAATGCGTATTGTTAGCAACAGTTTTACGAAATTTGTTGTGATGCAGACGACATCTTGCAAAAAATTCTACTACACATTTATACATAGAATTCCTTATTGAAATTTTAACCCTTACGTTATTCACACGCTGTGGAAATTCATATTATGGAAAAAAGGCCGTTTCTTTACTTTAAAAAGTACTTAAAAACATATGCGTGAATTAGATTGCAGCTTTACTGAAATCACCAACCTGCCACACCCATGTCTGTTCAGTTTGATAATAAATTCCCGACACTGACTGAAACGAACTAGTTAGTTATTCTTGCTCGAGCCCAATATTTCTCGGGTCCATTCAAATCAGTGTTTTTTTTTTCAAAAGTCTGGCAAATTATTTTAGTTTTTTCTATTTTACGCATTGACTTACAAATAAATGGACGACGGGTCTAATATTAAACCACGAAAAAAATGTCCCAAGTCAACCTATTTAAACGTAATGACATGTAAAGGAATATGAAAAAGCTAAAACGTTGAATTTAAATTGTAATGTCATCGCAGTACTGTCTAATTTTGCTTGCTTCGCTGTCAGTCGAACAAACGAAGACCAAAGCGTGAACGACGCTCTGTATACGATTTTAACGCCCTATAAGTTCGGACACTTTTTAGCGAGGACCCGACGTCCATATAATTGTAAGTCAATGATTTTACGTCTAATTTTGAAAATAAAAATTTAGTAATTATAATTTTATCATTTATTTGTTTTAATTTTCTACCAATAATACAGGTTACCCGAATGTTTCTAATTTTAAATTGCGTAAACTTCAGTTGAAAAACTGTTTTTATTTAGAAAACTTTAATCAATTAAACTGCAAATGTTACAGTTTAACTGTAACAATTTTTACATTTTTAACCGTCTAAAAATGGATTTTGTTTAATTGCGATTTTTTAATAATGTTAACTAAGTAGGTATTGACTTAGTATTGAAAAATGTGAACTTAATTGCTGCTTTACGTTTAATTCTTATTTAGATCGAAGGAATTTTTTTCTAAGTGCTCAATCTTTGTATTAATAATTATAACAAACTGGTGAAGCAATTACACTAAAAAAAAATTTAATATCAATTCAATAAAAATTTAAATAATTATGCAATTATGCGTTAATAAAGTAAGGTGTGAGTAAGTGCAAAATAGTGTTGCAGCAAATAGTAAAAACGGCCTCTGGCCTTATATCCAATCAGGACCCCGATTCAGAACACTCTGATATTTTAACCGAATCATTCGATTGGATATCGTTCTTGAATCGAAGGGCGCTTTCCGAGCTATTCAGAACATTCGAGTTAAACGTTCGATTCGGATACGGATACGATATCGTTATCCAACAGCGTTTACGGAGTTAATAGGTGAAATATAAAAGTCCTTTTATATACATTTTTAAAACTTTAAAGGACTAAAATGTAAGAATGCCTTAGTCTTGCATTAAAATAAATTAATAAAATTTAACAAAATTCAGACTTTATTACTATTATAAAATAATAAGAGATTTCCATATTACATTCATGCTTTGTAAACAATAAGACTTTCGGTAACGTTTGTAATTAACCTTTGCCGGTTGAGAAGTTGGAGTAATCGTACGGGTATGATGACGTCATTTCGGTTCGGTGTCGAATACGACAGTTTGACGTTCGATTCGGGTGTTGTGAATAAAAATGAAAAGAAATCGTACGATATCAAATCTAATCGGTCGACAACTGAGTTATCGTAAGATTCTGAATCGACTCCCAAAAGCGGGGCCGATTATTCGACCAAACTATTCGGCCTGATTAATGCGAAACGAAAAGTACCACTTACTAACTTTAGTTAATGATACATAATTTCGTAAGTACAGTGGAATAAAAAAGGTACTCTGATTATCAAGTTTAAAGTTTAAATTTATGCTTAATGAAAAAGGTGTTTTTTTATTTCACTGCAATTTGATTAACTTCCAAAAATGTAAACAAACAATCAAACAAACAAACAAACAATCAAACAAACGAACAAACAAACGAACAAACAAACAATCAAACAAACGAAAAAAACGAACAAACAAACAATAAAACAAACGAACAAACACAATCAAACAAACGAACAAACAAACAATCAAACAAACGAACAAAGAAACAATCAAAAAACGAACGAACAAACAAACAATCAAACAAACGAACAACCAAACAAACGATCAACCAATCAAACAAACAAACGATCAACCAATCAAACAAACAAAAGAACAACCAAAAAAACAAACAATCGAACAACCAAACAAACAAACAAT